TTTTCAATAAAACTCACCAATAAGTCAAGAAGTTTATAACTAAACCTCAAAGTGACTTACATTGAAGCAGATTCCTTTACATCAGTTGGCAGCCCTGTCTAAAAAGATTTGCAACACTTAGAATTTGTAATGTTTTACCTTTTTCCTGAGAAATAGAACTGATAACAAGAGGCAGGAGACTTTGATATAATCATTTCTTTTTTAGCCCTCATTAATCAATCATTTCAAAGACCTTTACCTTGGGCAGGTTTTCCTTAGCCTTAACTTCAAAATGGGCAATTAATTGCCCTTCCCAAGTGACAAATCACCCTTTTCAGGCAACTTATCACCCTTCCTGAGCAGATAGGGAGGGAGCTGAGAAACAAGCAGGGGATTTGACAGGCCTGGGAGGAATGTTCACAAAGCTACACTCTGTAAAAAACTCAAAATCAGATAAAACTTGAAAATGGAACCAAAATAATTGTGTAATTTTCATCTCTGATTACACTTTAATTCCTGAGAAAGAGAACCCTAATATGGTATCCAAATACTATTAAAAATTCAAAATTTAATGATAAGATTCTGTGCATACTAAAGTGAGGAATAATATGATAAAATGCTATGCACTACACAATATCATTTCGTAAAGAATAAGCATGATCTAGGCTTGAGACTCAAATTACTGAACGTAGTAAAGTCAAGGTTCTATTGAAAAAGCACCAATAGATTAATACTCACATCTTTCTTTGGTTCTTTTTTTACACGCTCTTCCTTAAAATACAAAGATAGATAATAACTGCAACTTAAATGCATAACATTTTGGAGACTGTTGTAGAAAGAAGAACCAACAATCAGTTGAGTAATATGATAAGCAAGAAGACTCATTTTGCAAGACAAGACCCTTTACAATTAAAAGAACCAGACCTGGGAACCTTTGTTTGCAAACAAATTATCAGAATTATACTTCTTTTATAAACTTAGTGAAACTTAGTGAAATGCCTAGTATGTTTGTGGTATTACTTAATGGTATGTTTTTATAGGCATAGAAGGTAAAAACTAAAAAACCAAAATGCGAATAAAAGTGTAAAACCCAAAATAGAAAAATGAGAAAAAAGGAGATAAGGAGTAGTCACTACCACCTGGTTACAGCCTCAAACTCAGATGGGGGGTGGTTGTGTGTGCCCATGTATGTTTTGAGCAACTAGCTTGTAAGTGGGCAGAAAATGATAAAAAAGCAACTCATCAGCCAGAAACCCACAAGGGACATTTCGGAGCTTTAATTTGATATGTTTATTTATCGTAGGCGCCCCTCGCAATCCTGCGTCCAGGATCACGGTTGCAAAGGTCAGGAAATACAAATAAAAAATATATATATTATAACGATCAACAAAAAGTAGCAATCGACACAGATTGCTTATTAAAGTAGGACTGTAGAGTGTATGGAGGCATTTTAATTGAGTGGGTGAAGAGGATAAACATGGTACGGGTGGCTCTGGGAATAAAGGGCTGGGAGAAAAATTCCAGGATATTTCTAAAGACTGATTTCAAAATTCCAGGATACTTCTACATTATTCCAGTCAACAATTAAGGTTTAGTCTTTTGATAATATCATAAAAATTCATAATTTCATAAGTTATTTCAAAATTGTTTTGAAATAGCACTAGAGTCCTTTAATCAAGTGAAATTCTGGAATCTTAAATCAATTGTATGAAGGGCTGTCTTAGTCCTGGATTACTGAAAAGCAAAGAGAACCACCAAGTGCTTGAGCATTGGTATATCTTAAAAGACAATAAAAGATTTCAACTGTGAAGTAATTATCTAAATATGCTTAATTTTGCACAATAAAATGATTGATCATTTGCATACCTCTTTTAGTTCTCCTACAAGATATTTTTCCATGATTTCTCTTGCATCAGTAGAATGACCAACATCTTCAAAAGATTCACTTCCATCAGAACCTATTGAAAATATGAAAAACAATTATTTCATTGCTTATAGGTGATTAATTCTACTAAAGTTAGCATTAAGCAGCCTAATACCACCTTTTTTTACTCATGCCCTCTCCTGATCAATTCAACTAAATTGCATAAATTGCTTAAATTTGCTTAGTGTGCCGAACCAAAAATCCGATGTTTCAGTGGCGTACCCAGTGCTGCAATAGTGGGGGGGGGGGGTCTGGGGCATAGCCATCAGAAATATTTTTGGGACAACGCCCTTCAAACACTCGCAATTGCGGGGAAACGCCCTTTCCCCCATTTTTTGATTCATGATTTTTTCATTTCAAAATTTCCCCCCATTTTTTTATTCGTGTTAGCTACGGTAAATAGCAAAGCATTTTACAATTGTTATTGACACAAGCATACAGTATACTACCCCCCCCCCTTCCCAATGAGTTTTATATCGGACCCCCCATTCCCCCCCTTGGGTACGCCACAGCGATGTTTGTATATGCAAAGTGGACTTCAAGCTAAAATGGCTTGATAATATCCATGAAAATAAAAAAAGGCAGCACCAGGAGATGCCCTCATTTAAAATAAAATATCGAAATACAACCTGCGAGCTCCAGAAGCACTTCCTCTCCACCAGGATGCTACAAGAAAAATGTAGGATATTACAAAGACATTGTTTCTAGTCTGTAAAATTACTTATTTTTCATAGAACATTTGTAAATTTGATAATATTCAAGAATCGCAGGTATTTTTTAAGAATGTGTGTGCTATGGCAACTTAGCCTAGGCCAGGCCGAGAGCCAAAATCTTCGACAATTGAAATGGTGACGAGTTTAAAATGTCTGTTCAGACAAAAAAACTTAGGTATTTTTATCACAATCTACCTCCTCTAGAAATTCAGTAACATCATAAACTTTATCATGGATAATTAACCAGCAGGATCGCCCATCGTTGTGTTGCTTGATTTCTTCTTTCGAGAAGAGCTTTCTCTCGCCGGACATTTTCGAAAAGGAAGATGGGCGACTCCGTTTCAAACTGTCTCGTTTTCGTGTCAGTGGAAATCCCAAAATGACTAGGGGGTGGATAATTTGGGGGGTATCAAATACCGTGATTCAGGAAGAAAATTTCCCTTTTACCGTAACCCCACGAGCATGTTTTGATATTACCGTAATACCAAGTTTTCAAAATGAAAATTGCCGAATACATTGCAGGTGAATTTGAATCAACCTCATTAAATTTTCGAGTAATTTCTGGGAAAAACATCAAGATTCAAGGATGCAATTTATGCACATACATCAGCGGAAAATTTATAGTATATGGCTTTGAAAAGAGCAAACAGCTTATTACATTTTATGTTATAAAATTTTTGCTTTTTTCAAAACCATTTTCAAGTTCTGCACCGCCAAAAAACTGTTTATAATATATAGAAAACTCATCCGCCCACAAAATATGAAGCTTGTGCAGAAACTTTTTCCGTCAATCTTTCTAACATAAATTATCTGAAAAATTTCATCATATTTAGCTGATTTTCCACTCTGACATTTTACCCTTTCAAAGTTTTCTTGATGGATACAACTAGTCTTTTTCCCTTAGTTCTTTGAAGCTTAATAATAGTTTTCTCGGTTGTGAAACAGTTTTTTGTATGCAGTTTCACTAAATTTATTTATGATAGCATATTTTCATACTAGATGTGGACTTACACTTTGTCTATGAATCGGGGGGGGGGCTATGGGGGGCTAATCAATGAGCTAACAAAATACTAGATAATCCATCAACAATTAATGTAATCCTCGACGGCTCATAACTTTCAGATCTCCTATCTTATCTTTGCACTAAAACTTAAAGAATGCCGTACAAATTACAAAAATTTATTTTTTGACTGCGCCTCCTCCCCCAATTCAAGTATAATATTCAGCCCGAGACCACCTATCTCATGTATTCTGTACCATTTCCTGCAGTTAAAGTTTCAACAACAGGGCCTAAAATAAGCGTGGATCTGACACAATTGGTGGAGTTGTAAATTAAAATTGTGGATCTGTAATTGTAGAAAGTGTGGATTTGTAAATAATGTATGTTCTTAAAAGTGCAACATAAAATACCAATCGAAACGCCTAAGAAAAAAATGGGAACATTTTTTCAATTCGAAGTGAATGCCCAATCCCAGCCTCATGTATTGAAAAAAATTTTTAAAAGAAAACTGCGCTAAGAAATGAGCAATGGACAATTAAAAAGAATTAAGAAACTTCAGAACTCGAAGCTTCAGTACATGCGGAGAAAAATCAATTGCGCTTTCTGATATTGTTGTGTGCTATTTTGAAGTAAGATGGACTCTGTATACAGCTTTGATGTCAAGACATCGTCTCAATTTAGTTTGCTTCAAAAAAGACACTGAGCCTAAAGACCGAGATTATGATCTCCTGCCCGTAATGTATTTTGGGGTTTATGTGATATCTTTCAGTAGATTTCAGAAAAAGCTATAAAGCAATTCAACTAAGGTGTTTTAAATTGGAGAATCATCGGAAAGATTTCTCACAAGGCTACAGCAGCTGAACGATGATAAGTCTCTCGGTCGTTGCTGGGAGGAACATTCAATTGGGAATGTTGCATGACAGGGACTATAGTCCTCCCAAACTTTTTTGCAATAATGGCTTAGAAAATGTTTTGAAAATTTACGCTAACGAACCCATTAGTAGCAGTTCTGCTAGGAACACGTTTTTGTTCTTTTTGACTGTGCTTTATCTTGTGTGCTCAAAGATAAATTTGTATTTTATCTAGCTCGGTTTTGTATTTTTATGTTAATTAAAATCTTCTCTAAATCGTTATGTTTATGAATAAGGACAGATTGAAGCGAATATTTTCTGAAAGTAGTGTTTTCCGGTGTTTCAAAGAGCGTGTCCGTAAAAAATTTAGGGGCAAGCCTTTTAGTCCCGTTCCAGCCACTCCATTATGGGCTGGTGCCAGTGTGACCTGATCTAGCGTAATATCGTCATTAAGCATAAAATCTAGCATAATTTGGAATCTAGCATAAATCTGGCATAATTCTGATATTATTTAAAAGAATCATTGTTTCCATTGATCCATTGTCTATCGTTACCAAATGGAAACACTTTACACCAGCATACGTGGTTTCATCTAGGGGTAAATTGTGACTTTCCACCTTTAGGATTTTTTCAGTTGTTTTGGATGGCTGGCAGCCACATATTTTGTGGTTGGCAGCCAAATGCAGCCAGCTAAACGTAGTATACAAAGAATCTAATTTTTCTAATTATTGGGAGTGATATCGTAATCAAAATTTGCTTTGTAGGTTACAAAAGTTTTCATTTGCTTTTATCAAAAACTGTCTGTTATCTTTTACTTTGTTTTATCATTCATTATTTGCAATTTTGAAATTATTTTAAAAAGTTTTGAATATTATCTGTGCAAAAATATTTGTTTCCTTTGCATTTTCGTTGTTTTTTGAAACATGCGGCCAGAATTCAGCCAAATTTCACTTCTTCGGCTAAATCAATTTGTGCCGGCCAAGGGGTTTTGAGAAACTGCCAAAATGGAGAAATTTGGCCATCAAACCATGAATCTAAATTGCCTTTTTGTTTATGAAGAATGAATACACTGGGTTGTCAAAAAGACCAAATTGCAACTCTGGCCACTTTTGATATTGTTATACAACTAGTTTTGTCTGTCGTGTATCATGTATGTGGTTCGTTATTGTTAATGAGAATGTCTTTCGATGTTTGCGTCAGTCATTTTGTTTGTCATCGTGCCATCTCTATTTTAGTTGTTATTAGTCCATTTTTATTAGTCCATTTGCCGTTAATTTGTGTCATTAGGGTTTGTGTGCGTCACTCATGTTGTTAAAAGCGTATGTTCTTTGAGTGCAAGTCCAGTCGAGTCGAAGTTGTCGTTGAAAGAAGTCGTTATGTTGTAATCGTTGGTTGTTGCTAATTTATACTTTCTTATACTTTCACTATTGAAGAACCTTGGTTTAAAAAAAAACGTTATTTTACATTGGTGACCACGACGTGACGAATTCGCAGAAAAAAATGGAAATGATTTCAACAGAACAATTCAGAGAAGTTCTGTTGGATATTATAAAGACCGTTGTATCTCACATGGCCGAAAGGGTGAGGTTGGCAGAGGAGAATGGGATAAATTTCTTCGTGAATCGAACTAATGTCTATCGTGCTGAAGATGGCCAGCCCATTTGCTATTGTTGTTTGCGCGTTGGTCACGTTGCCAAATATTGTAGGGACAGGAAATTTTCTTTAGCATCCCAGGAGAAGTGTGATCAAAATGAACCTGTGATTGTTGCCTCGGTAGCTGAAGAGCGACCTCGGGTTACCTTTATTGGCAACATCAAAAGAAATGAGCCACACTTTCAAGATCTTCAAACTCGAGTTAAGAAATTGGAGGAGATTGTCAATGAATTGGAGTCACATAAACTATCACGACCAATGGTGACGCGACTGCTTTCTTCAAAACCAATGGAAGTTGACGAGGGTTTATTAGCCACAACATATGAAAAAAATTTAATTGACACTAAAAGAAGAGAAGGACCTTTCCGTGTACACAATGTTATTATAGCCTCGGGTAGAGAACCGTATGGACGGAATAAACTTGGACAGGGACATTATTTCTTAGATGGTACTTGATTTACTCATTTCAGTAAAATTATTTGATTGATTCTTCGTGCTGCCTTATAATACTTTTATGTTTCTTCCCCTTCGAGAGATCAAGCCAGGAGGCTTGTCTTTCAAAGGGGGGAGTAATGTTATACAACTAGTTTTGTCTGTCGTGTATCATGTATGTGGTTCGTTATTGTTAATTAGAATGTCTTTCGATGTTTGCGTCAGTCATTTTGTTTGTCATCGTGCAATCTCTATTTTAGTTGTTATTAGTCCATTTTTATTAGTCCATTTGCCGTTAATTTGTGTCATTAGGGTTTGTGTGCGTCACTCATGTTGTTAAAAGCGTATGTTCTTTGAGTGCAAGTCCAGTCGAGTCGAAGTTGTCGTTGAAAGAAGTCGTTATGTTGTAATCGTTGGTTGTTGCTAATTTATACTTTCTTATACTTTCACTATTGAAGAACCTTGGTTTAAAAAAAAACGTTATTTTACAATATTCTGTGCATGCACTAGCCTCTTCCTCGAGCAGGGTTGCCTTGATTTGAAATCTAGCATAATTTTTGCAAATCTAGCACAATCTAATGACAAATTTGGCGTAATTCCAAAATTGAGATATGGTGCGTGGTTTCTGCATTGCAAACAAGATGGGGGTAAAGGTCATGCTTTCAAACTGGGCGAAAAGAGAATAAGAAGAAACAAGCACAATTGTACATCAGTGAGAGAAGAGTTTATTTGCCATCTGTAACGAGGTTTTCGTTTATAGTATCAAAACTTTTTGAAGAACAGATTTGATGGCAAAGAACTTGATGAGCTGAATGCAGTTACGAACTTTCCATAAGTAAAAGAGACTTTAGAAAGCTTCACCCAGCTTTTGTCCCGGACAAAATATTTCATTCAATCATGCATTAAATTTTGAGGAATAAACGACTAAGGTCGCAGAGATCTGAGTCTTGTTCTCAGAGGAATTTTACCAGACGAGACAATGGCACGGATTCTCGCAGCAAACCCTAATCCTATCGATGTTGCGATGCTGATTCCCACCTACAACAAGATAGAGGCAGGTGGGGAAAGCAGCATAGCTCCAGAAAAACTTAACAAATAGATAAATATTGCAATGCTTATGCCTTATCTCGCAAGTTTCGAGTTCCGAGAAAAGCTGCAAAGATATGGCTCCCAAAAACAAAAAAACACCAAAGTCTGGCAAGCAAGGCTGATTTAAGGGAGTTTTTGAAGGTGAAAGAAAATGAAAAATAACTTTGACAGGGATCCGAACAAACCATGTAAAAGAGTTTCCTTTCGATAACTTCTTGCTCACACATTAAGTTTTTTATAAAAAGTGTGGATCTGGGAATTTTTTTTTATTTTAGGCCCTGTTCAACAACATTTCAACAACAATGCAAGCGGCAATCATGTTTAATGA